CGAGGCATCTCAACATATACATACATATATAGAACACACACACTGTGTCCCTCTCACCGAGGCATTTAGTCTCCAACATATACATACAGATATAGAACACACACACTGTGTCCATCTCACCGAGGCATTTAATCACCAACATAGACATGCAGATGTGGAAAACAGACACACACACACTGTGTCACTCTCACCGAGGCAGCTAGTCACCAACATTACATACAGATATAGAACACACACACACACACACACACACACACACACACACACACACACACACACACACACACACACACACACACACACACACACACACACACACACACACACACACACACTGTGTCACTCTTACCGAGGCATTTAACTTTAGACCAATCTGTCAGATATTGAGATGTATGCTGACATGTTAGACCTAGTCGTTGTCTCTCAGAGTTAGGCATTGGAGCATTATACTCAGTGTACCGTGTAAAAACTTGAATAGTTAAAGTTTATGAGTATTGCCAGAGAAGGCAAGCAGCTAAACAACTGAACCTTTGCTTCATATGTCTTCGTACTAATCAGCGTGGAAACAGTCGCAATCCTGGAATCACCTGTTGAAAACTGTACTACATCACACAGTACCTTTCTTCACGCAACAGCTGAAGCTGGAAAGCCACATGACAGTCACTGTCCTATGCAGTTGCAATGTCCTCATCTACATCCAGCAGGTAGACGTTGGTATCACTGAGAACAGAGGCAGTCATTCTGAAAAATTGGAAACAAGAATTATTTCTAATGTACTGTTGGATGACGCACACAAATATCAACAGGATGCATCCGCAGAATTAAACTTATCTCGTCCTAGAACAGGAAGTTTTTCTTAATGTCCTCAATGGACAACATGAAATGTTAGACACCATGACAGTTCAGGTTGGATTCGAGAGTTTTAATGAATCAATCAACAACTACTGGGGTTACTAGACAGATACAAGTTGTTGATTTGCAGAAGTTTGCAGGTAGGTGGACACACATTGGAGGTATTGTGTTTCCTCTGGTTAATGTACATAGAACATTCAAAGTGTCAGGTGATACCACAAGACATTCATAGTGTCAGGTGATACCACAAGACATTCATACTGTCAGGTGATAAAACAAGACATTCATAGTGTAAGGTGATACCACAAGACATTCATAGTGTAAGGTGATACCACAAGACATTCAGAGTGTAAGGTGATACCACAAGACATTCATAGTGTAAGGTGATACCACAAGACATTCATAGTGTAAGGTGATACCACAAGACATTCATAGTGTAAGGTGATACCACAAGACATTCAAAGTGTAAGGTGATACCACAAGACATTCACAGTGTAAGGTGATACCACAAGACATTCATAGTGTAAGGTGATACCAGAAGAAGACATTCAGAGTGTCAGGTGATACCACAAGACATTCAAAGTGTCAGGTGATACCATAAGACATTCATAGTGTAAGGTGATACCACAAGACATTCAGAGTGTAAGGTGATACCACAAGACATTCATAGTGTCAGGTGATACCACAAGAAATTTATAGCGTCAGTTGATACCACAAGACATTCATAGTGTCAGGTGATACCACAAGATATTCACAGTGAAAGGTGATACCACAAGACATTCATAGTGTAAGGTGATACCACAAGACATTTATAGTGTCAGGTGATACCTGAAGACATTCACAGTGTCAGGTGATACCACAAGACATTCACAGTGTCAGGTGATACCACAAGACATTAACAGTGTAAGGTGATACCACAAGACATTCACTGTGTCAGGTGATACCACAAGACATTCACAGTGTCAGGTGATACCACAAGACATTTATAGGGTCAGGTGATACCACAAGACATTCACAGTGTCAGGTGATACCACTAGACATTCAAAGTGTCAGGTGATACCACAAGACATTTATAGTGTAAGGTGATACCACATGACATTCACAGTGTCAGGTGATACCACAAGACATTCACAGTGTCAGGTGATACCACTAGACATTCATAGTGTCAGGTAATACCACAAGACATTCAAAGTGTAAGGTGATACCACAAGACATTCAAAGTGTCAGGTGATACCACAAGACATTCATAGTGTAAGGTGATACCACAAGACATTCATAGTGTAAGGTGATACCACAAGACATTCACAGTGTCAGGTGATACCACAATACATTCAAAGTGTAAGGTGATACCACAAGACATTCATAGTGTCAGGTGATACCACAATACATTCATTGTGTAAGGTGATACCACAAGACATTCAAAGTGTAAGGTGATACAACAAGACATCCGTAGTGTCAGGTGATACCACAAGACATTCATAGTGTAAGGTGATACCACAAGACATTCACAGTGGAAGGTGATTCCAGAAGACATTCACAGTGTCAGGTTGTACCACAAGACACTACTGTGTCAGGTGATACCACAAGACATTCACAGTGTAAGGTGATACCACAAGACATTCAAAGTGTACGGTGTCACTACAAGACATTCACTGTGTCAAGTGATACCACTAGACATTCATAGTGTCAGGTGATACCACCAGACATTCATAGTGTCAGGTGATACCACAAGACATTTATAGTGTCAGGTGATACCACAAGACATTCAAAGTGTCAGGTGATACCACAAGACATTCATAGTGTCAGGTGATACCAGAAGACATTCACAGTGTTAGGTGATACCACAAGACATTCACAGTGTCAGGTGATACCACAAGACATTCACAGTGTCAGGTGATACCACAAGACATTCATAGTGTAAGGTGATGCCACAAGACATTCAAAGTGTCAGGTGATACCACAAGACATTCATAGTGTCAGGTGATACCACAAGACATTTATAGTGTCAGGTGATACCACAAGACATTCATAGTGTCAGGTGATACCACTAGACATTCACAGTGTCAGCAGATACCACAAGACATTCACTGTGTCAGGTGATACCACAAGACATTCAAAGTGTAAGGTGATACCACAAGACATTTATAGTGTCAGGTCATACCACAAGACATTCACAGTGTCAGGTGATACCACAAGACATTCACAGAGTAAGGTGATACCACAAGACATTCATAGTGTCAGGTGATACCACAAGACATTCATAGTGTCAGGTGATACCAAAAGACATTCAAAGTGTAATGTTATACCACGAGACATTCAAAGTGTAAGGTGATACCACAAGACATTCAAAGTGTCAGGTGATACCACAAGACATTTATAGTGCCAGGTCATACCACAAAACATTCACAGTGTCAGGTGATACCACAAGACCTTCACAGAGTAAGGTGATACCACAAGACATTCACAGTGTCAGGTGATACCACAAGACATTCATAGTGTAAGGTGATACCAAAAGACATTCACATTGTAAGCTGATACCACAAGACATTCACAGTGTCAGGTGATACCACAAGACATTCACAGAGTAAGGTGATACCACAAGACATTCACAGTGTCAGGTGATACCACATGACATTCATAGTGTAAGGTGATACCAGAAGACATTCATAGTGTAAGGTGATACCACAAGACATCGATAGTGTAAGGTGATGCCACAAGACATTCATACTGTCAGGTGATACCACAAGACATTCATAGTGTAAGGTGATACCACAAGACATTCATAGTGTAAGGTGATACCACAAGACATTCATAGTGTAAGGTGATACCACAAGACATTCATAGCGTAAGGTGATACCACAAGACATTCATAGTGTAAGGCGATACCACAAGACATTCACAGTGAAGAATGAGGTATGCTTTTCAAAGCGTAGGAAGGTATTGCATTCACAACGTCAGATTGTGTTGCGTAAACAACGGAAGATGGTAATGCATTCACAGCGTATCAGATGCTTGATGGGCATTTAGAAGTTGGGAGGTAACATAACAACGTAAGGTATGGATTTACAACTTCTTTAATATTTACATGGCGCGACGTTTTCTTCGCCCCTTCATCAGGTGGTCAGGTGATGAAGGGGCAAGAAGTAGCCCAGAAACGTCGCGTTGTAAATATTAAAGAAGTTGTAAATCCATACCATACGTTGTTGCATTCACACCATATGATGGTATTGCAGTCACAGTGTATGATGGTATTGCATTCGCAGTGTAGGATGGTATTGCATTCCTAATGTAGGATGGTATTGCATTCGCAGTGTAGGATGGTATTGCATTCGCATTGTATGATGGTATTGCAATCCCAATGTAGGATGGTATTGCATTCGCAGTGTAGGATGGTATTGCAATCCCAATGTATGATGGTATTGCATTCGCAGTGTATGATGGTATTGCAATCCCAATGTATGATGGTATTGCATTCGCAGTGTATGATGGTATTGCAATCCCAATGTAGGATGGTATTGCATCACAGTGTAGGATGGTATTGCAATCCCAATGTATGATGGTATTGCATTCGCAGTGTAGGATGGTATTGCAATCCCAATGTATGATGGTATTGCAATCCCAATGTAGGATGGTATTGCAATCCCAATGTAGGATGGTATTGCAATCCCAATGTAGGATGGTATTGCAATCCAAGTGTAGGATGGTATTGCAATCCCAATGTATGATGGTATTGCAATCCCAGTGTAGGATGGTATTGCAATCCCAGTGTATGATGGTATTGCAATCCCAATGTAGGATGGTATTGCAATCCCAATGTATGATGGTATTGCAATCCCAATGTATGATGGTATTGAAATCCCAGTGTAGGATGGTATTGCAATCCCAATGTATGATGGTATTACAATCCCAATGTATGATGGTATTAAAATCCCAATGTATGATGGTATTACAATCCCAATGTATGATGGTATTGCATTCGCAGTGTAGGATGGTATTGCATTCACGGTGTAGGGTGATATCACGTTTTGGATTTGTTTGTTATCTCAGTTCACCATTACCTGTTGGGTTGAATGCTAACTGTAGACAGTGCTACATTACATACTCTACTGATACGATCATTAACACGTTTATTGTTGGAGCGGAATAAGATGTATATCAGTATTATGGATGTTTCTTGCAGAGTCCGACTTCACAACAGGCAAGGAACCCTGGGAATACAGCAACTGTCAAGATCACATGTGTCCCTCCACTCCTTGTGCAGCAGCTATATAAAGTTTGACCTACCTGCATGCAGTGCCTTCACTGACCACAGACGCCGCACCAGGTACGTAGATTAGCACCTGGCACCAGAGAGTGCAGTTGATGCAGCGGGACCATTGTTACCTTCACTTGGCATTGTGGTCTTCAATTGGCATTGTTACCGTCATTTGACATTGTTAACCTTCAACTGACATTGTTACCGTCACTTGGCATTGTTACCTTCAATTGGCATTGTTACGTTATATGGGCATTGTTTCGTCTTCGCACTAAATCAGTTGTATGTATAAATGTTGTGCACATGGGCAGAATTTCAAGCATTGCATATTCCGCTGGTTGTGTTCTGGGTGGTCGTTGACATGATGTTTTCTAATGGTTGTTCCCAGGTTGGACATTCAGGTATGATGTTCTAATATGGTTGTTCCCAGGTTGGATGTTTAGGTATTATGTTCTAATATGGCTGTTCCCAGGTTGGACGTTTAGGTGTTATGTTCTAATACGGCTGTACCCACGTTGGACGTTCAGATGCTATGTTCTGATGTGGTCGTGAAAAGTTGGTGTTTACTGCTGACATGATGTCACTGTCGTGTTGTTCACACTACAGTCAAGAGATCATATACGTGTGTTCATGCTACAGTCAAGAGATCATATACGTGTGTTCACGCTACAGTCAAGAGATCATATACGTGTGTTCACACTACAGTCAAGAGATCATATACGTGTGTTCACGCTACAGTCAAGAAATGGAGTACTTGGGTTATCACTAACTCCTAGAGATGATGTACTTGGTTCCTCACTTACGCCTAAAGATGATGTACTTGGTTTCTCACAAACGCCTGAAGATGATGTACTTGGTTTCTCACAAACGCCTAAAGATGGTGTACTTGGTTTCTCACTAACTCCTAGAGATGATGTACTTGGTTCCTCACTTACGCCTAAAGATGATGTACTTGGTTTCTCACAAACGCCTAAAGATGATGTACTTGGTTTCTCACCAAGGTCAAAAGATGAAGTACTTGGTTTCTCACGAAGGCCTAAAGACGATGTACTTGGTTTCTCATCAAGGCCTAAAGATGATGTACTTGGTTTCTCACTAACGCCTAGAGACGATGTACTTGGTTTCTCACCAAGGTCAAAAGATGAAGTACTTGGTTTCTCACGAAGGCCTAAAGACGATGTACTTGGTTTCTCATCAAGGCCTAAAGATGATGTACTTGGTTTCTCACTAACGCCTAGAGACGATGTACTTGGTTTCTCACCAAGGTCAAAAGATGAAGTACTTGGTTTCTCACGAAGGCCTAAAGATGAAGTACTTGGTTTCTCACTAACGCCTAAAGACGATGTACTTGGTTTCTCATCAAGGCCTAAAGATGATGTACTTGGTTTCTCACTAACGCCTAGAGACGATGTACTTGGTTTCTCACCAAGGTCAAAAGATGAAGTACTTGGTTTCTCACGAAGGCCTAAAGATGAAGTACTTGGTTTCTCACGAAGGCCTAAAGACGATGTACTTGGTTTCTCATCAAGGCCTAAAGATGATGTACTTGGTTTCCCACCAAGGTCAAAAGATGATGTACTTGGTTTCCCACCAAGGTCAAAAGATCTTGCTTTTCCACTTCAGTCAAGAGATGAATCAGATGTTCGTTGTGCTTTAGTACAGACAAGACTTGGTTTATCACTTCAGTCAAGAGATGTACGTGGGTTTCCGTCACAGTGAAGAGATGATCCGCATGTTTCTACACTACGGCCAAGGCATGATGTACTTGGTGTCTCACCATAGGCAAGAAAAGGTGTACTTGGTTTCTCATTAAAGAGATTATGTCGTCAAGAGATAATGGACTTGGTTTCTTGCTACAGTCACGAGATGATGTACGATGTTATTCGCCACAGTCAAGAGATAATGGACTAGGTGTCTCAATACAGATAAGAAATAGCATACCTGGTATATCACCAAAATCGAGAGATGATGTACGTGGTCTCTCTTTACAAGAATCGATGTAATCAGGGGCTTAGCTACCATTATAAAAAAGCCCGGGCTTACACATGATGTTTTGCTTTGAAAGTTTGGCAAGCTCTAAATACTATTTAAATATAAACGTTTGCAACCTATCGAGCTTACACGAGTTACGCGCCTGGTAAAGGGTCTATAACGGCGAGTTGATGTACTTCGCTTCCTACTTAGGTGACCAATCCATGTACCTGGTTTAAGGTAAGGATTACGTGTTTAAAACATTATCTGCTTGTTTTGAAATATTGTTGCTACTGTGATCAAGACTGTATGATTCTCGAGTTAGTATATATTATATATACATGTATACTCGGTTTTAAATGTTCTATACAACAGCAACATTCTGAAAGGAAAACCAAGTTCTATGGATAGTGAACTTCTTTATTGCAACGAGTGCGACGTTTCGATGTAGGTACTACTGTGAGTCGAACTTAAGAATAATGCCGACCTGACATTTGAACCCGTAAATCTGAATAGCGGTGCAGTCCAATTTTCCATTAAGGGGCCGAGGGTATGTAAAGCGATAAACTGCTGTGAATCGTGTCAGTCTACTCTCGCTCTTCTGGAACGGGTTCTATTGCTATTTTGCGGTTGACGATTTCCATACACAACCCAATACAACACTCGAACTGTTTTTGTGTTTAACGATACAAAAAAAATACCAAAAGGTTAATTTCTGTCCTAGCCCAGGTTCTGTGTGTGTGAATATGTTATGGATAATACGTTTGTTCTGTTTTCTTCGAGGGGAATGAAATAACGTTATGTAAATACAAAACGGGGTACTAATAAATACATCAAACAAAGCTTAGTAATTTGATTGCCCAGTGGTAGTTTATCTGCTATTTGCTACATGTAAGTCTCTTGAATCTGCTACTCGTCATCAATATCACTGATATCACTGTCATCAGTATCGACGCCAAGTTCGATCACAAGTTTCATCCTCTAGGGCAATTTCTCGATGCCAGTAACGATCCTCAATTTCCATCACATGTCTGCAACAGTCTGACCATTCCTTCTGGTCAATAGATGACAATCGTTCTTCGCAAGCCCTCTGTACAGAAGCCATTTTGAAATCTAAATTCTAAGATCCAATCCAATTTTTCAAATTCGGCCAAAATAATTCTATGGCATTGAAATCGGCGTCATAAGGAGGTAATTGGAGAACAGTATGCCCATGGGTTTTCAGAATTTTATCGACATGATATACGGGGCCTCGCGGATGTGATTTCACAAGTGCAAGCAATTCAGCCTTCAACATTGAATGTGTGAAAGGTATATCATGCCTATGTAGCCACGAATTGATTTCATCTTTCCGACTGGCAGTTGTTGGAGCTTTGTCTATTTGTTTGCTATGGTAAGGGGCATTGTCCATCATAACTACTGAGTTTTGGGGCAGATTAGGAATAAGTTTTCTTGCAACCACTTAGAGAAATTGTTGAAATTCATTTCGTCATGGTAATCGCCACTCTTTTGTTTGGCTTTAAATATCAAAGAAGCATTAGGAATGAACCCCTCATATGTACTGCATGGACTATAATTAATCTTGGACCTGTCCCCGATGGTACCCGAATACCGCCAACTGCTCCCTCCTCATCAGTTTGCCAACATTTTGATACTGTGTGATCGGCGTGTAGCCATGTTTCGTCGATGTACACGATTGGACGGTTTTCTGTACGGTACTGGCGAATCATTCTGAGATATCTCAAACGCCATACAACCATGTCTTTTCGCTCCATTAGGACCTGTCTGTCTGAACGAGTTTTCCGCCATTTGAAACCAATTTTTCTTAAACATTTACGCATTGTTCCGTAACTCCCTGTATATCCCAAATCATCAGTAGCCATTTTCATAATGCCTGTCAGTGTTGGCATTGTCTTGGTTACTGTGTAGCAGTGTTGAATGTACTGGCGAATCATCAAAATTCAGTTTTCCCTTCGGTACGAGTACGCACTTCCCTGGGCTTGTGAACTTACTGGTACCCATCGCGGGAACGCATTTACCTTCGTTCTTTATTTTGCGCAAGGTACTGGCAGATATACCAGTAACATCGCTGGCTTTTTTGAGTGCACTGTGTGTGCTGTCGGAAATAGAACACATGTACTGAATGACATTGTAGGCAACCTCACGTGTTTGTGAATGAATGACTTGACCCCGTTTATCCAATTTAGAGTGCGACATGATAAGTTTCAAATACCTGCAGAGTTTAATACTCTTTTAACAGCCCACTTTACAAGATACTAGCATACAAATGCTCGAGCAGAAACACGACGTTTCCGAATCATTGCGTAGAACGTGATTACTGCAAGGATCACAAAATCACGTGCGCGAAGTTTTCACACCTGTTCCCCCTTCGAGTGGGTAGTGGATCAGTTCACGGCATGCTCCCCCTCTCCTTTCACAAACGCGTCTTTCGCGCACCTCATGCTAATGTTGGTTTGACAGTAACACCAATATCAAGCAAGCTGACCTCCCTGCTTGATAACGGTGTTAGTACCTACACCGAAACGTCGCACTCATTGCAATAAAGAAGTTGACTATTCATAGAACTTGGTTTTCCTTCATCTATACAACTTCTAAAATGCCTCTCAAAAAACATTCTGAAAGTTTGTGAGGCCACTTGTGAGCTTTGTTTGTCTGTTTATCCAGCATCATGAGGCTGTTCCTTGTTCTCTGCATCCTGGCTGTGAGTCGAGCTGACCTCCTGCATGACATCCTCCAGAGGGAGAAGGACGCAGGTGCGTTACACAGGGTTACATCTGTACACAGGGTTACATCTGTACACGGGGTTACATCTGTACACAGGGTTACATCTGTACACGGGGTTACATCTGTACACGGGGTTACATCTGTACACGGGGTTACATCTGTACACGGGTTACATCTGTACACGGGGTTACATCTGTACACAGGGTTACATCTGTACACAGGGTTACATCTGTACACGGGTTACATCTGTACACGGGGTTACATCTGTACACGGGGTTACATCTGTACACAGGGTTACATCTGTACACGGGGTTACATCTGTACACAGGGTTACATCTGTACACGGGGTTACATCTGTACACAGGGTTACATCTGTACACGGGGTTACATCTGTACACGGGGTTACATCTGTACACAGGGTTACATCTGTACACGGGGTTACATCACGGGGTTACATCTGTACACGGGTACAATGTTGGAAACCCATTTCCGGTGTTCCCCGAGATGATATTGCTGGAATATTGCTAAAAGTAACGTAAAACAATATTCACTGACTCACTCATAGCGTAATACCGTGTCATCTGCTTCCAGCCAGCAACTCGAATCAGATCGAGACCATCGCCAACTCTATCCAGAAGAGGAGTTTCCTGGACACGCTGAAAAATGGATTTGAAAAGTTCGGCCAAGGTACGAAAAAATAGAAAACATTTTTCTCTGGAACAGCCAGGGTCAGCAAACATGTACAGAAAAATGTTGTGGGGTTTTACTGAATGCTTGAAACACAACCAATTCAACTGACGTTCCACTAACAACTTGTCTGATAGAGGCCCTATGATATGGAGTCACGTTAATTCACATGTACTTTATCGATATATGTCTTTTCCATAATGTCGAGTATTTATAATATTTTAATTTTCATACGGGAGAACAAATAACCTTGAATTATGTTTCTGATTTCAGACATCGCAAACCTCGCCCAAAGTAAGTCTTTTCTTTCCTGTCAGCCACTGTTGCGAGCACCCGAAAGAATAGGGTAGAGCTTCATGTAAGATCCGAAAATACGCTTCACATGTTATAATCTTATAATAATGCAAGGCTTGAGGAGGAACGGTCTCATCATGAACAATGTTTATCCTAAAATAATTAGGCTTTTCGGCAGGTTAAACCGACGTGCACTCATTGCACCTGGGTGGGGATATTTACCGACAACTATGCAAATATGAATGTTGAGGAAGGTACGACTTCCGGTGTTTGCGTCAAATAGGTCGTCATCTCTGTCTGTCGGCGTTTGAATCGGATTCAACTTTCAGGGATATGGAAGATTTACTGGATTGAAATAATAGTCTGGGTTATCGCAAGATCAGTTCCTAACAGGGGAATAACTTTGACCGTCTGCAAGTGTTGGCATATATCTATATTGCCCGGCGTTTGGATATGGATCGTCATTTTGTATTGCTGCTAAAGTTGATAGAATATTAATATATTGTGCAGGTAGTGGTAGCTTTGCCTTATGATAGATACGCAAATGTCAGTGAAATAGTTATATATGGACAGTGTTTTATTGTTGACACTCCCAGAGTGCCTTGAGGTCAACAAAACGGGTACGGCCCGCGTTACGTTTCGTCGCATCCTAGTAAACCCAGTCAACAAATTATGACGAGTTTCCGCTTTTTATAAACAAACTTGACAAAGCATTCAGCTAGGACATATTCCAAAACACAACAACCGTTTCCATTTGTAATTCGTTTACAGAGGTTGTATGGTTATAACTTTACAGAGGTTGTATGGTTATAGGTTTACAGAGGTTGAATGGTTATAGGTTAAGTATTAGATATACCCACACTTTCCGAGGTGTGCCGCTCAATACCCCTACTGTTTGAGTCGTGGCCTCCGAGGCGTTAGCCGAGGAGACCACACGACTCAAACAGTAGGGTATTTGGCGACACACCGAGGAAGTATGGGTACATCTGACTTATACCTCACTTCTGGTCGAGTTACGAGTTTATTATAACACTTTATGTTCTAATTATGACAAAAATTATTTTTCTTTTCCATCTGTTTCATTTATTTTTAGCCCATTGGTTAAGACCCTCAAATGTCCCGCGTCTATAGTCTGTTTGCAGTGAAACCTACCGATCAATTTCACTTTAAACAAAAAAGTACTCAAATAAGTGAAATTAAGATTGCGAATCTCATAATTTGACCTTGCCAAATGAACATCTCAGAATTATATTCAACTTAGAATAAAATTTGTTTAACAAATGATCATAGTTTCAAATCAATATTATTGGTTTGTATTACAATTTTAGGGGGGTAAGCGCAGTAGTTGGAACAGTGAAACAAATGCCCGTGCGGTACGTAACAAGCGTTAACTTCTACCAAACCTGCATGTTCTGGGTGTTTCATTTAATGCTCATACCCCATTGTAATACAAACCAATAACAGCGCTTATAAAGTATGATCGTTTGTTAAACAACTTTTATCCTAAGCTGAATATAATTCTGATATTTAAGTGTTCAATAGGCAAGGTAAAATTATGGGGATTTGCAATCTTAGTTTCACTTTATTTGATTTACTTTTTTAAAGTGATATTCATCGGTACGTTTTCACCGCAAACAGACTATAAGAAGTCGATTGCACGCATGCACGGGCTTGCACGATTTCACACGATTTTAAACACCAGTTCGGGCGCGAGAATGACTTCAAGTAGCCCCAAATATGCGCAATATTACTGATAATTGACATTTGTATGGGCAGACCAATGCGCATGCGTTCTCTGACTCGCATGTGGCATAGAAAACATTTGGAAGATCACACGTTCGTTCGCCATGGATGCTGAAGAGTGGACAGAGGATTTTCTTTCTCAAATTGACAGTTCGTTAGCGCCACATTTCGACCTGGATGATAAGGAAGATTTTGAAAAAATCAAAATCTCAATGTGAGTCCATTGAAATAAAATTATATTTCGCCGTTTGTTGGGTCTTTATTGCTTCGGTATACCCTAATTAAAAAGTGTGACCGGTACACTTTTGACTGGTGTACCGGTCAATACACCTACACTTTTAACAAAGGAAACCATGGCAACGAGACCGGAAGTGGGGTATAACACAGGTTGTATGGTTATAGGTTTACAGAGGTTGTATGGTTATAGGTTTACACAGGTTGTATGGTTATAGGTTTACACAGGTTGTATGGTTATAGGTTTACATAGGTTGTATGGTTATAGGTTTACACAGGTTATAGGCTGACACAGGTTATATGGTTATAGGTGTACAGAGGTTGTATGGTTATAGGTTTACACAGGTTGTATGGTTATAGGTTTACACAGGTTGAATGGTTATAGGTTTACACAGGTTGAATGATTATAGGTTTACACAGGTTGTATGGTTATATGTTTACACAGGTTGTATGGTTATATGTTTACACAGGTTGTTTGGTTATAGGTTTACACAGGTTGTATGGTTATAGGTTTACATGGGTTGTATGGTTATAGGTTTACAGAGGTTGTATGGTTATAGGTTTACACAGGTTGTATGGTTATAGGTTTACAGAGGTTGTATGTTTATAGGTTTACACAGGTTGTATGGTTACAGGTTTACACAGGTTGTATGGTTATAGGTTTGACACAGGTTGTATGGTTATAGGTTTACAGAGGTTGTATGGTTATAGGTTTATAGGGGTTGTATGGTTATACAGGATTTACAGAGGTTGTATGGTTACAGGTTTACACAGGTTGTATGGATATGGAGTTTATAGAGGTTGTCAGGTTTTACACAGGCTGTATGGTTAGTTTACAGGTTTGTATGGTTATAGGTTTACACAGGTTGTATGGTTATAGGTTTACAGAGGTTGTATGGTTATAGGCTTTATACAGGTTGTATGGTTATAGGATTTACACAGGGTTGGCCAGCAGCAGCCTTCACAGAGCACATATAGGTTTACCTGGGTTGTATGGTTATAGGTTTTACACAGGTTGTATGGTTATACAGGTTGTGGGCTGGTTATAGGTTTATAGAGGTTGTATGGTTATGTAAGGTTTACAGGAGGTTGTATGGTTATAGGTTTACAGAGGTTGTATGGTTATAGGTTTACACAGGTTGTATGGTTATAGGTTTTACCTAGGTTGGGATGGTTATAGGTTTACATAAGGCTGCATGGTTATAGTTTACAGAGGTTGTATGGTTATAGGTTTACAGAGGCTGTATGGTCATAGGTTTACAGAGGTTGTATGGCTATAGGGCTTATACAGGTTGTATGGTTATAGGCTTTATAGGGTTGTATGGTTAAAGGTTGACAGAGGTTGTATGGATATAGGTTTACTACAGGTTGTGCTTGGTTATAAGTTGCTACAGGTTGTATGGCTATAGGTTTACACAGGCTAGGCTGGTTATAGGCTTTACATAGGTTGTATGGTTATAGGCCTACAGAGGGCTGTATGGTTATAGCTGTATGGTTATAGGGTTACATAGAGGTTGTATGGTTATAGGCTTACAGAGGTTGTATGGGTATATAGGCTTTACCCAGGTTGGAATGGTTATAGGTTTGCCACAGGTTGTAATGGTTATAGGTTTACAGAGGTTGTATGGCTATAGGTTTACAGTAGGTTGTATGGTTGTATAGGTTTACACAGGTTGTATGGTTATAGGCTTACTACAGGTTGTGTATGGTTATAGGCTTACACAGGTTGTATGGTTATAGGTTTACAGAGGCTGTATGGTTATAGGCTTTAGGAGGCTGTATAGTTTAGAAGCCACAGAGGTTGTATGGTTATAGGTTGACATACAGGTTGTATGGTTATCAGTTTACACAGAGGTTGCTGCCGGGTTATAGGACTTACAGGGGGCTGTATGGTTATAGAATTTACAGAGGTTGTATGGTTACAGGTTTACACAGGTTGCATGGTTATATAGGCTTCACACATAGAGGTTGTATGTTATATAGGTTTGCAACAGGTTGTATTATAAATTTACCAGGTTGTATGGTTACAGGCTTTACACAGGTTGAAAGATGGTTATAGGCTTCACAGAGGTTGTATGGTTATATGGGGGTTGACTCATCGGTTATATGGTTATAGGCTTACAGAGGTTGTATGGTTACCAGGCCAACAGGCTGATGGTTATGGAGTTTACAGAAGTTGTTTGATTATATGGACACAGAGGCTGACCATGGTTATAAGTTTACACAGGTTATAGCATTACACCAGGTTGTATGGTTATAGGAGTTTGCACCTTGGGTTGCATGGATTTGGCAGTTTGGCATGAGGTTGTAGCGGTGCATATAGTTCATAAGGAGGTCGAATAATTTATAGGATTTACAGATGTATGAACATGGAAGCCATATTTGTATGGTTATATTTCACTCCAGGTTGGCATCGTTATGCTGGATTTTACACAGGTTGTATGTGTGGTTATAAGGTTACAGGTTGCATGGTTATAGGACACAGGTTGATATGGTTATATGTTTACAGAGGTTGTAATGGTTATAGGTTTTACACAGGATTTGTATGGTTATAGTTTACAGGTTGTATGGTTATATAGTTTACAGAATTTGCTATGGGTATAGGCTTACAGGTTGTAGTTACCATATATAGGCTGGAGGCTGGTTAAGTTTACACAGGTTGTAGCATGGTTATAGGTTTGCCACCAGGTTGTATGTTTATAAAGGATTATAGTATGGTTACAGGGTTGCCACGGTTGTAATGTTTATAAGTTTACCCTAGGTTGCCGTATTTCTATAGGCTTTACATAGATTTGTATGGTTATAGGTTGTCAGAGGTTAATATGGTTATAAGCCTTACCCAGTTGAATGGTTATAGGCTTTACACAGGCTGTATGGTTATAGGTTTACAGGAGGTTATATGGTAATATCAGTTTACCTAGGTTGTATGGTTTATATAGGTTTCACCAGGCTGTATGGTTATGGTGGTTCACTACAGGTTGTATGGCCATAGGTTTACCAGGCTTGCCATGGTTATAGGTTTA